TGAACAGCTAGGTGGGAGGGGAGTCATATTCCAGAGTTGGGAAGCCTGGGAAAGAACACACGTCTGCTCTCTATTAGACGGGCCAGGGCTTTCTTTTGGATGACCAATAGGAAGTTGGGTACTTGAGTCTCATACTCATGGAAATGGTTAGGTCTGAACATATAAATATGGAGTCATCATTTTATAGAAGATTTTATAGATGGTACTGGGCAAGATCACAGAGGAGAAAATTGGGTAGAGAATTGGGCCCCAGGGCACTCTGCATGTAGAGATCAGCAGAAGGTATGGATGGAAATCCCCTGTTCAGCAAGGTGGAAGAGTCAGGAGAGGGGGCTGTCTGGAAGCCAGGGAGACATGGTCAGGGAGAAGGTCGCACTGGTGAACTTGCTCAGGGAGTCAGGTGAGGAGGAAAAACTGACGGTTGGATTTGGCAACTCGTTGGCGTCCGGTGATCTGAGGAGAGGGGTTAACTGCAGCGATAACGAGGTGGGAAGACCAAAGCCAGACAACTTTTGGAAGATTTGGCTTGTAACTGGGGTAATGATTGAGGAAGGAGGTGGTGACAAGAGACATTTAAGAAAAGCGAGAGATGAAAACGTTATGGTGCCTTTACAGAAAGGCGAATTGTGAGGCAGAACCATGAAGCACTGTCCAGAGCAGGAAGAGGGGACGGGTCCAGCATCCAAATGGAATGTACGAGAAGAAGAGTGGTATCCTCACTCTCCCTAAAGGCAGGAGACAGAGCAAACTCACACGGGGGCTGGCAGGCATGGTGGGGGACACCTCCTGTTGCTTCTGTTTCCCTTGGCTACCAGGGCACGAAGCATTGGAGCAGAGGCTGGAGTTTGGAGGAAAGAGGAGAAGGTATGATAGCATAGTCTCATCCTGGAGAATAAGATTAAAGTTTTAGGAAAACAGAGCATTTCTTAGAGGTGCTGAATACCCATTGAGTCTTGTGGTCAGAAGTTTTATTAGAAACCAGTTAGGCCAGTTGTATTATTCTCTGGGGCTGTGGAATGGGTGAGCTGGGTTTAACTGGGCTTAGGGTCTTGCCAGATGAGTAACTCTAGAAGCACAGAAAAGCAAGGGAGTGGAGGACATTGTGGCAACTACATGGATTTGAAGTCCTGAGAGAGGGAGGGGAGGAAGTGAAGGGTGATGGTGACAGGAATCAACAGATGGGGCAGGAGGATGGCGGGAGTGGGAGGGAGCTGGAGTGTGTAAGGTGTAGCCAGGAGATGAGGCAGTGCTGGCGAGATAAGGTCTTGGGTATGAGCATACATGTGCGTGGGTTCCCGGGTGGAGATAAAGATTGTTGGTTACAAGACAGTCAAGGGGCTGGGAGGTCAACACACTGGACGTGGAGTGTCCACGACTGGCGGTAAGTGCAGTTGTGGTCAGCTTCCACAAGAGGGGCACTTGCGATGGTCCAGAAGAGGGGAGGCAACAGGTGTCTGTGAACCCCACTCAGCAGTCTGAGAATGGGGTTACCAGTCTTCCCGAAACCTGCTCATCCACTGGGGCTCTTTTGGGAAAAGTTCCCACCAAGCAGAGCCAGAAATCTGGGTGTCACTGATTCCTCGCTTTCCCTGAACCCCACGCCCAACCAAATCGCCCAATCTTTTTGATTCTACTTGGCAAACATTTCCCAGACACAGCTAATTTTTTCCATCTCTAGGCCCACGCCCTAGGTTGTTTTAGGACATTGTGTTTTTCCCTCGACTCTTCTATCTGGCTCTGAATAGGTAGCAGGACAGCAGTCTTCCCAGGGCCCCTCTCCACGCCGTGGCCTCTCCACGCCATGGCCCCTCCATGCCGTGGCCCCTCCATCCCATGGCCACGCAGTAGTTGGGTCAGTTTCTTAGATGACTTTCCATTGTCTTTAGCATAAAAGCAGGAAAAGCGCTGCATGGTCCTGTCCTGTCCTGTATGCTTCAGCCAAACTCTTACCAGGCCTCCTTCCTGGGGCAAGCCCTCTCGGGGTCCCCTCCACCCTTGTCTTCAGGCTTGCTCTCCTTTAGGCCTTCATGCCTGCACCCTTTGTGGGGACCTTGCCACCCCTTTGCTTGGCAAACTTCCTCATCCTCTGGGTGTCAGCTTAAGAACTCTCAGGGGATCTTTTCCTGGGCTCCTGGCTAATGGATGAGACTTAGCCTCCCGGAGGCCCCTTGTGCACCCCCCCCCCCATTTCACAGCTCTCCTCTCTGCTGGAAGGCAAGGCCCTTGAGGCCAGTGCCTGAGTCTTCCCAGACAAATCTTCAGCAGTTTGCCTGGGGTTCATCACATAACAGTGAACAATAACTATTTGCCGACTTGAATCAAACAGGAACCTCTAAAGGCAGGGAAGTTCTGGGGGGCGGTCCGAGGGAGCAGGCCACTAAGTGGCGTGGAGGAAGCAGTGAGGGTGGAAAGGACAGAGAGAAGCATGATGGTCATGGGAGAATCCTGGGGGACCCTGAGTCATGTGCCCAAGCGCTTTATGAATGAGCAGTGGGCAGCAGCAATAGAGCAGGGCAGGGGTGGGAGGGAAATCAGGGGCCAAGCTGCATGGAAAATGTCAAGAAAGTGGAGTTGGAGGTCCGGGGTGGGGGTGGGAGCCCTTGGGGGTCTCAGTGCATGGGGACTGAGGACAAGACAGTGTTTCCCAGAGGAGTTGTCCCAGCTCGCTTTGGGGGTTTAGGCTGTGAAGATGGGGTTTGGCCTCCACCTGACTCAGGCCTTGAGAACTCTGGGAACAGCACCCTTTAAGACGAGGCCGGGGATGGGGTGCACACCTCATGCTCACTCAGCGGCAGCCCTCGGGGTGGGGAATCTGGAGTTTTAGGGGGAGTGGACTGTGGCTGGCCCCCTGGCTTCACTGGGGGGTGACCCTGATCTGAGCAGTATGGACGGGTGCTTCTGGGCTGGTTGGGAGTGTCTCTCTGTTCTCCGGTGTTGGGTGGTCACTGCTGTGGTCTGGACTAGAGTAGGGGGCCACCCCTACTTCCTGGGGTCAGACGTTCAGTAGCTGGTATTGGTGCCCTGCTCATGTCCCCATTCTGGGGGTCTCCCATTCCTCAGTGGTAAATACTGGCCTCTCATGACTTGGATTTGCCCTGGAGAATTGACCTTGACCATGTGGGAGCCACCTACGCTTTCCTGCAGCCCTCTTGCCCTTGGGATGGTATGAAGCCAATGATTAATTGATGTGGAATCCACGGAAGGATGCCCTTACCTCAGAGGGGACGCCTCGATGGCGGGACTTATGATCCAAAGGCACCTCACCCCACAGGGAGCAGGCTCAGGCCATGTTTGCCTTAGCCCAGACCCTGCTGAGCTCAAGTCCCTTGCTGCTTCCCACAAACTCCTGGCTCTTTCCTGGGATGCTGATCTTGTCCCAAAGTCAAGAGCGGGTATAAAGTGCTCCATGGGCACAGGGGACGTGGTCTATGGTAGGGAGCGCTTCCCCCTCTCTAGCCGAGTTCCCTCACCTAAAATGAGACCTCGAGGCTGGATTTAGCTAAACTGACAAAACACACGAGCACATTAGAAATCACTTCTCTGAATTCCTTGGGCTAGGTGTGGTGGAGACAGATAAAAAGACAAAGTCCCTTCCGGATTTACTCATAGAGCAAACATCGAAGGCAGCTGGGGTGCTGATGACTAGTATCCTGGCCCTGAGGGGTTCTCAGGCCTATGGTGAGAGGGAACGGAGGAGAAGGCCGTGGAGAGGGCACTTCCGGTTTGAGGAAGGGTTCCAGAGAGGGAGGAAGGTGTTCCAGGCAGAGGGGAGAGCAGGTGTGACGTCACCAAACAGGAGGCCTGAGGCATGTGATGAGGGAGCCAGGAATCCTTTGGAATTATTGGAGCAGGGGTGAGGTTGGGGAGATGAGGGTGGGAGGTTGAGGGCAATGGATGGGAAGTGTTGCAAGAATTCTTTTTTAAAGATTTATTGATGTATACAGGAACTGGGGTATAGGCCAGCGGTGTAGTGGGGAGGTGCGAGAGGATTCACCAGAGACAGAGTGGGGAGCAGAACAGGCAGATGGACTGAAATGCACTGCTGAGGGGAGCAGCAGGAGAGACAGGAGAGTCATGTGGGTCAGCTCCCTGGCTGGGGATTGAACTCGTGCTGCAGTGTCTGTGGAGAGATTCATAGTGCTGTGCTTTAACCCCTTGTGCCACCAGGGAGACCCAGTGCTGGGACAATTTTAAGTGGAGGAATGATAGTCATATTTGGGTATAGAACAGTCTGTCCTCTTAGTGGAGGGAAGGGCTCCTCAAGGGGTGGGAAGATTATGGAGTGGAAGAGAAGGGATAGACTCAGAAGGCTTCTGGGGTTGGCGTTGGCAGGATTTGGTGTGGCAGTGGGGTGTGAGGGGCTTGGGGATGGGGAAGGAATGGGGGTGGCAGGTCAACTTCCAGCTTGGTCAGAGGGGGATGGCAGCACCATTCCTGTGGAGACTGAGGAGCAAGGAAGGGCAGGCTGGGGCTGAGTGTGAGCTGCCCAGGGGCCTCAGGCGACTTGTGGGGTGGTTGGCTGGTGGGTGTTGAGGACTCAGCCAGAAGTCTCCTGAGCCCCCACCTTTGTCTGGGCAGCACTTCTTGGAAACCGACATTCAGGCACAGGTCTCCGGGGTCCCTCTGCTGCGATGGTCAGCTAGTCCAGGTATCCCTGCCTTTGGGCATTCTCCACCATGCCCTGGGGACACACTGTGTGTGTGATGGGCGAGCCCTGGATCTGAGCTTCTGGGGCTCAGGTGCCCGCTGAGTTCATCACGAACCACCCTGCTACCCATCACTCCCCTCCTGGTCAACAAAGTACTGGGAAAGATCACATTTATTTAGGGTTTTGACATAGCCTATGTCCATATACAAAAGCCCCTCCAGCCACCACCTCCCACCTCCCGAGATTTAGGACCCAGAGGCCAAACTGACCTGGCTCCTCCTGGGTCAACTCCCTCAACTTTCCTGCTATAGAGAAGATGCCCCCACCCCTGGACAGCGGGTCCTCTTCCAGGTTATGGGTACCCACTGGCATCCACCGTGACCGACCCAACCTTCATCAGGACAGAGTTCCCATCTTGGGCGTGCTCTCCCTGGGAGAGGATATACGGGGGGCACGAATCGGTGAGGTGACTCCGGCGACGAGCCCGCCGGCGTCTGGGGCCGAGGGTCTCCAGGCACCGCTTGCCCACCAGGTAGAACATCTCGCTGAGGTTGAGCAGGATGCAGATCACGGCTGTGGCCACCATGAAGTAGGTGAAGACCTTCTTCTCCGTGGGCCGGGAGATGAAGCAGTCCACGGTGTGGGGGCAGGGCGCCTGGGAGCAGGCCACCACGCGGGGCATGTCATAGTCCCGGTAGATGCGGTGGAAGATGTAGAGGAAGCCGGAGTCCACGGCGGCCTTGAAGATGAGGCTCAGCAGGTATGTCCACCAGAGCCCGCCCCGCTTCTTGCTGGGGTTGTCGTACAGGGACCGGGCGCTGGGCCCGTGTTTCAGGCGGTGCTTGCGCTCCCGCTCCTCCCGGTAGGCCACGTGCATGACCACCAGCAGCGAGGGGCAGGTGACCAGGATGAGCTGTAGTGCCCAGAGGCGCACGTGGGACACGGGGAAGAACTGGTCATAGCAGACGTTGGAGCAGCCTGGCTGCTTGGTGTTGCACACGAAGTCCTTCTGCTCGTCATCCCACACGTCCTCGGCCGCCACCACGTACACCAGCACGCGGAAGATGAACACCACCGACAGCCAGATGCGGCCGAGTGCTGTGGAGTACTTGTTGACCCCGCTCAGGAGGCCCTGCAGGGATGCCCAGTTCATGCTGACCGAGTCCTCGCGTGGGCAGGCCTACACGTGTGCACCCACTCAGGCCCAGGGCCAAGAGGCTGAGGGAACCTGGGAACGGGCCCCCTTTATTAAAGTTGTTGTTGGCAAGACCGTCACAACCCCTGCATCATCATGTCCTCAGTTGCAGTGACTTGGCGGGGGAGGCGTTGCCACTGGTCCCATTGCACAGTGGAGCAAGCTAAGGCCAGAGAGGCACCGCGAGCCCCACAGCTGGAAGCGACAGTCGGTCTCGAACTTCTGTCTTTCAGTTCAGAATCAGTGTCATATTCTGTAAAATGAGAGATAAGTGTGAGCGATAATCGCCTGCACGGACATGCCTGCCAACCTCTTTGACTCCGAGTTTCAGCCCGGCGGGTCACATGAGTTCTAAAGAGATAGCAGCACGCACTGGATTGGAGGATCTGACTTCCCATCAGCTGCCAGGGGTAGGTCAGGGCGGGGGGGGGCACTTCTACCTTTAGCCTCTGAATTCCCCCCCTTCTACTGAGTGCCAACAGGAGCTGGGCATGTTTCTATCAGCTTCACGGGCATGATTCTATCAGCTTCATGGGCAGACCCCCGAGCCATCTCCATCCTCCCTCCTCTGGCCCCAGGATGCCCCAGCCCTGACAACCTCTCCCAAACTAAACAGGCTCTTTGGAAACATGGAGGCTTGGCAGCCTCCCGACACCCGCACGTGGTGCTGGGCCTGAGGGCTGACTGTTGCAGCCATGGTGGGTTCCTCTGGAATTCCAACCATTCCAGCACTAGGGAGCAACAGGACTCAGGCACAGTATTTGCCCCCCCCCCCACCCCTCACCATTTCCTCTCTTGTGCAGACACCCATCGGCTCTGTCTGCTCAGCAGCTATTTTCCAGCAAAGTCGCCCAATATTTTTCTGTCTGGCCCCTGTCCCAGGTGCTCAACCTCTTATCTGGAGTGATGACATGTCCCATCCCCTCCCAGCCTCTACCTATCAGCTTGGCTCCGGGGACACTTTCTGAGCACCTCTGGTCTCTGCCGGCAGGATGCGCACTCAAGTGTCCCATCACCCGCCTCCGCGCCAGACCATTAACTTCAGGAATGCGGCCTCCGCATCTCTCTCATCTGCTTCTCCGGGACCCAGGCTGTGCCCAGGCCTGCGAGCACACCATAGACATTTGCTCAACTGAGTTGAGGCCCCACTTTTTCCTGGTCCCGCACCCCTTCCTCGGTTCTTCCCTGGTCTCTCTTTGGCCCAGCAGGACATTCCTTTCCCTCCTTGGAGCGTCCCTCGAATTTCTTCAGGGCCCCTGACCCTCATCGCTCCTGGTCCTCCCTGAAGACCAGCCCACAGCCCGAGACACCAGAGCCCCCGCGGGTCCTGGCATCCCAGCGCAGCCTCCTGCCCTCCTGCCGGATGTGGGTCTCACCTTTCTTGGACCAGCGCTGCCCTCCTGTCCCTGGGCTTCTCTGTCTGCCCAAGGGCCTCCTAGAGGCAGCTTTTGTTGCTTACTCCCTGGCTGGGTGGGGCTTTCTGAGCCAATGAGCCGAATGAGAGTGAGCGGGTGGGCAGGCGGCGGGCGGACTTCCCCGGGCACATACTCAGAACAAACACCTGCGGCTCTTCTCTCCTGGCCCACGCCTCCTCTCCTCTTCACCGGCATGGCTGGGTCTGGCTTCCTGGGCGGCAGATGTGCAGGTGAGACTGCAGCGAGGGGTGGGGGGCAGGAGCCTGGTACCCTCATGCCCAGGCCCAGGTCAACACCCATGCCATTGCCCCTGTCCTCTCCCCATTGCCTTACTGGCCTGTCCCCTTGCCCAAGAACCCCCTCCTGCCCTCTTCTTCAGAAGCCTAGTTCTGAGGTCCTTGGCAATGGAAAGGGGTACCCTGTATCAAGCTCAGGAGCTCACCCCATCCAAGAGGGGACATTCCTGGGGCTAGAGCTTGGACTGTTCATGAGTTGTGTTGGGGATGGAGAGGGCTGTGACTCTTCTCAATGAGGGACCCACTGCCCTGGTGGGCATAGGACATGCAGGTCAGCATCATGAAATGCCCCCGTTGGCCCAGGGCCAGATCCAGCCAGACCACTGTCTTCTGTGGGCCTGGGCTTCTGGGCTTGGGGGCAGGCAGTTGGCGTGTGACCCAGAGAGGTACTGGCTGCAGATGTGAAGTTCATGTGCAGCCAGGAGGGACCCTTGTCGGGCACTTCCTAGCACCAATGACTAACATTTACGTGACCTTTTACGGTCAGCTAACCCCATCCACAGCCGTGAGCTCATTGATCCTCACGGCAAGCGCTCGGGGTAGTATTAGCCTATCTTGTTGGTGGGCAGCCATTTTCCTGGAGCCCCAGTGGAACCGGGGTTCAAAAGCAAGTGTGTGACTTACATGGAGCCCTGGACTTTGCATTGTGACTTACGGTACCTGCACAGAGCTCCGTTCTCTTGGCGGCAACCCACAGGCCTAGAAGTGCAGCTGGGGATAAAGACTAGATTTGCATCTGAGTAAGCAGTGTGGTCCCTCTACGGGGAAGGGGCCTCACATGGAAGACCAAGTCAGTCCTGGGACAGGCAGAGAGGATGAACCACCGACCGTCTGAGGAGACACGAGTGTAAAGACCAGAGGGCACCTTGCGTGTGGATGAATTAATTTCAATTTATTAAGCTCTGACTACAGACCCCACACTGAAGGGGCACGCCTGTCCTCACAACAGCATCCCTGTGCCGTGGGCTTCAGCATCTCCATTTACACAAAAGGAAACTGGGGTGCAGAGAAAGGATAACTGGTCCAAGGCCAGCCGTGGGGGCAGCAGCTGAGGAATAGGGCTTTCCCCTCAGGTTGTCTGACCCTCATGCCCGTCCACATTAACATCTCCAACCCAAGGCTGCACCCGTCAGTCACTGGACCCTTCTGAGCCAGGCCTGGCCCATCACCCCGGCAGCCAGCCCCCCTCACAGGAGGGTCTTCTTCATGTAGTCTTGAGGGTGGTCTGGTATGAGGGGGGGGTGGGTGTCTGAGCCCAGAAAGATGAGGTCACCCGAGAGGAGGTCAACCTGTTGGTGGGGAGAGAGGGCGAAGGCCGGGCCATGGCCCAGACCTGGGGCCCGGGCCTTTCTCGCAGCCAGGCACTCCCGGCACCTCTTGCTCACCAGGTAAGCCAGCTCCACCAGGTTGAGCAGGATGCAGATGGCGGCTGTGACCACCATGAAGAGGGTGAAGATGTTTTTCTCTGAGGGCTTGGAGATGAAGCAGTTCACCTGATTGGTGCACGGGGCCGCGTGACACTTGACCAGGTGAGGGAGGGTATATTTGGGGTACAACGAGTGGAACACGTACAGGAAGCCAGCGTCCACGCTGGCCTTGAACACTAGGCTGAAGACGTACGTCCACCAGAGCCCACCCCGCTTCTTGCCCGGGTTCACGTACAGGCGCCCACCCCCATCCCCCGCCACCTCTCGGTGCTTCTTCTCCCTTGCCTCCCGGTAGGCCACGTGCATGACCACCAGCAGCGAGGGGCAGGTGACCAGGATGAGCTGCAGCGCCCAGAGGCGCACGTGGGAGATGGGGAAGAACTCGTCGAAGCAGGCGTTGTGGCAGCCCGGCTGGCGGGTGTCGCAGTCGAAGTCCTTGTGGTCGTCACTCCACACGCGCTCGGCCGTCACCAGGAACACCAGCACGCGGAAGATGAACACCAGGGACAGCCAGATGCGCCCGAAAGCCGTGGAGTACTTGTTGACCCCGCTCAGGAGACCCTCGAAGACCCCCCAGTTCATGGTGGAGCTGGGTGTGGTCTGCTGCTGTAGGGAAATGGTTAATAATCACTTGTCACAGTGACAGAGTCCTTGCTCTGAGCGCTTTACGGGAGACGTCGGGGAGTTTCATTCTCCGCCCAGGACAAGCCAGGTTGTGGGATTGTTCCCATTTTATAGGTGGAGGAAACAGGTTTAGGGGCGTTCTAAGGGCCACACAACTATCAGGTACAGAGCTGGGACTCGAGTAATTAGCACAGAGCCCAGCTCTTACCTGTAAAGGTGGGTGAAGGCAGGTCTGGGAGCCAGTCACTCTTCCCAGGGCCCAGGCTCGGCCTTGCAGCCCCATAGGAGAAGGTAGAGGCCACGCTGCCTCCTCGCTCTGTGCCCATGCTCCTCCGGGGGGCTGGGAGGACCCTCGCCTTCCTGAGCTCTACTGTCTCCCTCGGACAGCCCCGCCTGGGCGACCCTGCTCTGCACCCTTGACTTGACTTGGGGTTGCAGAGGAATATGGGACCTTGTCCCCAAACCTTGTCTACCTTCTGGGCTGACACCCCATGAATATATGGGCAGCACGGCCAGTGGCAAGGCAGCAGAAAGACCCATTTGGGATCAGTGGTTCTCCTTAAACAACAGGCATCCCAGAGTAAAGCCTGGTATTCCAGGGTTTCCCGGATGGGTGTTCCCGGGAGCCCTGTTCAATAGGCTGGCAGCGGGAGTAGGGAAAGAAAAGGATTCTGTCCAGGGAGGGAGGCCAGCACTGCCTTCGGCAAAGTTAAATAGGTTCCTTGACTTGACCATGCTCATCTCTGCACATCGCAAATCTCTAAAAATTGGACAGAATATGCGACATTGCCCAAATTCCATCAGCCACAGTACTCTCTCTCTCTTTAAAATCATCTTGTAAAACAGCCTGTGAAGACACCAAAAAGGGACATGGTCCTCTCGTCAGTTCTGCTGGTGCGTTTGGTGGGGTGAACACACAGGGACCAGATTTACCTCCTTTTGAGGACTCTGAGAGTTGCCTAGAGTGCGGGGTGTCAGCCTCCTCTCATGGAATCCCCCTTCCTGGCCCCTGGGGTCTGCACCGTGGTGTGTCCCCAGGGACCAGGAAACTGCCCTCACAGCCTCTGGCTCTCAGGGTTTCCTACGCCCTCCCGGGTGCTGGTCAGGCTGCAGGTCCCTACGCTGCCCTGACCCAGCGTAACCTGGACAGATAAGCAGGGTAGTGGGACCAGCCGGCGTGTGCTGGTGTTTGATGTAGCACCAGACAGGGGTCTAAATGCCCTGTAGGAATCCATACGGCAAGTGAAGGCAGGGGTAGGATATTCTCATTCCCAGTTTACAGAGAAGGAAAGTTAGATAATTTGTTCACAGTTACATCTACTAGTGAGAGGCCGAGCTAGGATTTGAGCCCAGGCAGGCTGGCTCCACGGCCTGCATTCTGGGCCTGGGTCCTTTTCCTTCAGTCCCAGGAAGCTTCCTGCCTGCCTGGTCTGTGTCCACTCCCTTCTCCACCTGGCAGATCCCAGGGGAGAGAGGCTGGGGTGTCTATGCTCCCCACTCGTCTCTCCACTGTTGTGTCTACACCACCTACCACTTGGATATGGGGCCTCCTCTCTGAATCATCGGCTTGTCTTTCCTCAGTCCTGCCTAAGGTGGGCGGAACTCCTGGCAGCTTCTCTGGGAACACCCAGGGAGGCTCCAGCCCTCGGTCCCTAGGGCCTCTGGCCCAGCCCACCTGGGGCGGAGCGGGGCGGGGCTTTGCAGGCCCAGGCATGGCTGCCCCACCTGCTCAATTCCCGCCCCCGTGAGCCCCTCTTTCACTCAGTCCTTGGCTCCCACTTCTGCTCTGGGGAGAGTGGAAAAACCCAGAGCAAACAGGGAAGAACCCAGAGGAATGAGGGAGGAGCCTTTCATTGCCGGGGCTGACACTCCTGGGACTCAGGGTGCGGGTGTTCCCAGGCCACCTCTCCCCTCCTCCATCAGAGCAGGCTCCTCTGCCAGGGTGCCGAGGTGCAGGGGCACATCTGGACACATGTGACCTTACCTGAGTGGAGACTCTTCAGGGCTCTCTGGGTGTCGGCTCCCGGCAGCCAGCAGGCAGACTCAGCAGGCAGCCGGCACACATGTCAGAACCAGCGAGGGTGTCTGGGGAAGCCTGTTCCTGGGACAGAGTCTGTGGAGTTGCTGGATTCTGCTGCCGGCCGGCCGGAGGAGGAGCCACAGCTGAAACTACCATTGGCTGGGCCCCAGCCTTCCTGCCTCTGCCCAGGCCCAGAAAACTCAGGGATTCACTTTCCGGGGCACAGAGCCTAGAATCCCGACTTCCTCTCAGGGGAGAGCCACAGGTCCACTCTGCCCCTGCTTGTCTTCCAGCTGCTGGGCTTGTGGGACGAGTGGGCATCCGGCTGCCTTCTCCTTCCTGTCTGGAATTACCCCTCTGCTTGGGGGTCTCTCAAGGCAGGGCTCCAGGCAGGTTTTAGTCAGTCCTCAGTGGCCTTCCCTTCTGGTAGCTTCAGTTACTTTGGAAATTGATGCCGCCCAAACGTTGTCTCCAGCCCAAATGTGTTGGGCCTCTTGCCTGGCCTGATCCAGGAGGCCTTCCTGGTGGCACCACTTTGGGTGGTTTAGGCCCAGCTCTGGGCTTCCATGGCTCTGAGCTTCTATATCATCATTGGACTGTATCGTAGTGAACTTAACGGAGGTGGTTCTAGGTGGGCCCCTTCTGTTGAGGGAACAAATCAACTCACGCCGACAGAAATTTTTGGGGACATAAAATGGACCAGCCTGTGACTCCCAGGAACTCACCAACTTGTCCTTGATGACCAAGTGATAAACCCAGTAGAGCCACACGGCCGCTCATGCTGCAGAAGACACGGCTGGGGCCTGGCCCAGCCTCCTCTCACCCCACACCCGGTCGCTGCAGCATCCAGGCGTCTTTCCACCTGAACACTGAGTGCAGGAGGGGTGGCAGGGAGGTTGTGCCCTCGGGAGCGCACACAGCCCCGCAGTCTCCACAGTGACTGCCCTCCCCTGACCAGGGCTGCTGCCTGCCCCTAATTCTTGGCCTTAGATTCATGAATCAGCACTGAGGCCCAGCTGCACGATGGCTGTGTTCCGTGCTGGACTACAGAGATAAGGGAGGATCTGAAAGGTGGGGCAGGGTCTCCAGCCCCACACAGTGATGCAGGAATGGCCGGGGGTGGGGCTGGGGCTGGCTGAGCCTGCAGGACCAGGGGCCTCCTGGTCTGTAGGGGAAGATCCGGGCATGCAGACGGCCTGTGCACCTGTACCCCGCTCCCCTGCGGGGAGGCCCCACCCCTGCATTTGGGCCCACCGCCTGTGTCTGGAGCACACACTCTGTATTTGGAATCTCAACTCTGTGACTTTTAAATTTGGACTCTTTCCTGGTTCTGCACTGCACGGTGAGACATGCCATGCTGAGAGGTGGCTCGAGGGCCAGGCCGAGCACCCACAATGGTGGGCCATGGGCTGGGCTCTGGTGCTGCTGGCTTCTGCTCGCTGGCTCCCGTCTGCAGCCTGCATTGGGGGACAAGAGCATCAGCTCTGTATGAGGCTGCTCACTGGTTAAGCCCGCCGACAGAGGCCCAGGGCCTGGCAGAGAGGAAGCCTCCTAAAAGCCCCCTGGCGCTTGTGAGTGGTCGGTGCACTGGGCACACGGCGGGCACTCGGGGGACACCTCCTCTGAGATGTGGCAGAGGCACATCTCAAGGAGGGCGGCAGGTGCTTTCTTCAGAGAACATCTCAGCAGGCTGGGTGTTGCTTTTGGGTTAGGAAGGCAAAACCTGAGCCAGACAGCGACTGGGTGAGGCGGGGAGACAGGGGAGCCACTGGGCAGGGGTTGGGGGCTTCTCATTGGTGCTTAGACGCAGCTGTCGTCTAATTAACTGCCAGATGCCTTCGGAACTGCATGGGTCACAGGCGGTAGGAATCCAGCCAGCGGTGTGTCTAGGAGCCACACATACCCCAAGTCCACAGCAAGCAGCCCACACTACCTGCAGGCCACACTCAGCGGCACAGGGTCAGGCACTTGGGGGGCAGGGCTTAGTTTCGCCACTGTTGTTCCCTGGTGCCTCGGATGGCTCCTGGGCCCATTTGTATTTGCGGAGAGGATGCTAGATGAAGTGTGTGCACCTAAGAGAGGGTCACACACATCTCTCCCCGCCACATGCTTCCTTCAAAGCGAGAACGGCAGAGGCTGGATCCGTGAGAGCGCTCCAAGAGACTCAAAACTCTGGCCGAGTTCTGCCAGAGGGAGACCAGAGATGGTGACATTTACGTTGGGTGTCGAAGGAAGTATAAGAGTTCAGCAAGAAGACAGCAGGCAGACAGAGGCTGTTGAGGCGAAGGGCACAGACCTTGCAGAGGACCTCCGCAAATATGGAAGACTTTAGGCAGTGGGCTGCGGGGGTGTGGTGGGGTGGAAGGTCAGCGAGGACCTTCTGGACTCTGAAGAACCTGGAAGATCACACCAAGGAGTTCAGTTTCATCATGTATGCACGGAGGAAGGAAGGGAGCTCTGTGGTCAGGCTGACAGAGTCGAGTCTAATTACTTGTTCTCTGAAGTCACCACAAGCACTGAACTCACGGACCCTGAACGGTCCCCGCGAGCCTTTGCTCACACATTTTCACTGACCAATCAATACGCCCCGTGTTTGTGCGTGTTTCTCTTTAAAGACATCTTAGTTAATACGTGTTGCTGAGTTATTGCACTGCACCCCCGGCCAGCAGCACCACAGCTCGGCCTGACCCGGGCGCCCGGAGCACATCTGTTTTCTGTGGAGGGCACACGGCAGCTCCCGCCCTTCTCGGCACAGGCCGCTTCAGTACGACGCTTGGGGCCAGTTAGGCAGTGAAACCACCACCCAAGAGCACAAAAACTTGAAAAAGCAGCTCTAAATCGATCTCCAATCCTCTTGTTTACAGTAGGAGCTGCAACAAGAAAGCAGAGCGAAGCCTCGTTCCACTCGAGCTGGGAACGGGAGACAGACGGCAGTTGGGGGACCCAAATTTTCCCCAGCTGTATGTATGTCTAGGAATGATGACAAAAGCACTGCGAATACTAATTTTTGGGTTATAAATAGCGCATGGATGAACTCATCAATGTGGAATCTGTGAAGAAGGATCAACTTTATGCTTTAGAAAGCTCCCTGGGGTGGAGAGAACCGTGTGTTCGCCCAGTAAAAAAGTTCCCGCAATGATTTCGGCTAGACATGAGCCAGGGAGTTGAGTCAGGGTGTCAATTAAGTACAACACAGTTGTGGTCTGAATGGATGGGGGAGAGGGGAGGCTGCTGGTTTTCCTCGGGTGGCCAGTGGAGGCTGAGCTGGTAGAAGCAGGGAGACAGACGGGGAGAGGCAGGCTGTTTGGAGAGGGGAAGCGATGCCCACATTCTTCCCAGGTTCTTGGGAGTGAGTGAGTCCTGTGCTTGCAGGCTGGGTGGGGGCGAGTGGGCTGTCCAGCCAGCAGCTGGCAGTCATGGCTGGAAAAATACTCTGGGTGTCCCCAGTCTCAAGGAGGTGACTAGGGTCTCAGGAATGAACCAGGCAGCCTTGGGAAATTGTGCCAAGTGAGAAGGAAAGGGAGTCTCGCTGAGCGTGGGGAGCACAGGCTGGTCAGGAAGCAGCAAAGACACTCAGGGATAAGCCAGGATGGGGAGGGGAGGGTGCTCCAGGCACTTTAGCAGGGAGGTGGGGACAGAAGCTAGAGGACCATTGGCATGGAAAGCGCAGATGGCACCTTTCAGGAAGCTTGCCAGGGAAGGGCAAAGGCAGAGAGGGCAGTGGTCAGGGGAGCAGGGCTGAGACGTTTCCTCTTTCCGGCTGGCAGGAACCCTAGGGGAGCTGCCATCTGACCTGCCGGGGCCTTGCTTTATCTGCTCTGCCCCCTCCCTGTGTCTGGGTTGTCGTCCCCAGTCCTCAGGCCGGCAGTGCTGTCTCTCATTATCATTGCACATGTTCTTGCCTGGACTGACCACTCCCTTGGCCCCACTGGCAGGAGCTGGCCGACTCCCGGCTCTTGGGCCTGGCTGCTCTACCCCCTTCTGGCCTGTTCTCCCTGCTCATGGGGATGGGGTGCAGTGGTGGGAGTTGTCTTTCTGGAGACCAGCCACCCCCTCCTGAAGGCAGCTGGCCTGTGCTACCGGCCCCGGGGCCTGACATGCCATATACTTGGGGTGCCACCACACCACCCCCTTGCTTGAGGTTGTTTAATTAAGTCTCTATCACCTGCAGCCAGGAGTCTCTGTGTGACTCTGAGTGTGCCACATAGCAGAGCCTGGCACACAGTAGGTGTTTAAGAAGCTATTTGTTGACTGTCTTCTGCTCTCTTTCCTCTGGCACGTTGGGGCCAATAGTAACTTCTTGTAGGTCGTTGGCAATATACAAGAGAAAATGAAAAGGAGAGGACTTTGCCCCCAAGGACATGTCAGCCCCTATAAAGAGTGCCAGTCAGCTGGGTCGGCGGAGTGAGGAGTCAGAGCCCCGCTAGGCCTGTGGGTGGCCGGGACCTGGTGGCTGCTGGCCTGGGGGACAATGATGATGGCTTGCAGGGCGGGATGGCTTGGAGAGACTTTTTCTTTTGAGAGAATCAATAAGGAGGCAGAGAAGGAATTACTGTTTATTGACTCTGTTATAATGTGCACTGGGCCCGATCCTCGCACACATCAGAGCTCAAATGAGCAACATGGAGGCAAATGTTTTGTTTGGCCTTCATGGTGCTAAAGAAACATTTCAACAAATTGCCAATATATAAAATTCTGGAGATTCCACATTGAAACATGGTGGGGGCTGCTCTCAGAAAAGCAGAAAATCTGGACACCTGGGGCTTATTCTCCCTGTGGCATCAATAGCTGGAGTGATAGGGGGTTCCCTGTAGATGGAGCATCTGTCTCTACTTTGCCACACACCCCACCAGGCCCTTTTGCTCATGTGTACTACTTGCCTGGCCTGTAGTCATTTGAGACTGTAATCCTGGGTGTTTTCAACCAACCTCCCCAACACTCCTGCAAAGTGGGTACTGTTAACCACATTTTGCAGAAGATAAAGCGGAGACCAGAAGTGAAGCAATCTGCTCCAGCCTGTACAAATAGGCTACGATGGAGCTGGGATTCCAGC